ACACACCCCAAGCTTCCCAGGGTTTCTCTAGATGATCTCAACAGTGACAGGATATATTCCTCCCATGGTGCTGTCTCTACATCTTAAAGAATTAATTGAACATAAAGAACAAGAGAGAGATGAGAGGCTGTCCTCAAAAGTGTCTTGATCCTGGAAAGTGGAGGGGCCGCCCGTCCTGTGGTGCCCTGCCCCCACTCACCAGACACTTGTTCCCCCACGTCCCCTGTGATTAGTGTTGTGAGAGGACTGGTTGAAATCAGAACATCATCACTGGAAGAAAGAGCAGCTGTCACACCCAGCATTGTTGGAGAAAAATGATTAACACCATGAGGTCACCAAGGCGGTGTCAGAGAATCAGTTCAGTCAATGGTCCAAAAGGCAACTGTTGGTGGCAGGGTTGCTCTGAGAGGGGACACAGGGAGCCAGATCAGTTCCAGAGGTCAACACTGGGGAGAATAAGGGAGAGAAACAGCTCCGGATAGTTCTGCCCAGCATCATCTTCTTGGCTTGGCCCATTTTCTGATGTACTGGGTCCAACGTGGCTACTGATAATTCTTTATATCAGAGGTGATGGTGAGAGCCAGAGTGTCTAGGCAGTGGCAGCAGGCAGTCAGCTCTCTGCTGGCCCAGTGCAGTCAGGCAGTGTTGACACAGCACCGTAGGGTGTCCTAGAGCTGAGACCGGGAAGAAGTGACATTGTCGGAGCTCCTCCTCTTACATCTTTTGTCTTCCATGTTTTAATCTCTTCCCTCCAGAGCTATGAGCTTCTCTTGGTTTTCTAACCAGTTATTTCCTTCTGTCTTCTCTTTCTACCTTATTTTTGGACCCTTAGCCATTTGAAATTTTAAGCCCAAATTTTAATTCTTTCTAATTGTTCTTAGCCATCTGTGGCTCATTTTAAAGCTTTCTGGCCTTTTACTTGACTTTCTTGTCTGTATCTTAGATCTGTTTATGAAATTCCCTTTGATCTCGTTTTTCCTTTGCTGTGGTAAGTTTCACCCCACTATTTACCTTGTCCTGTGGTGACTAGCAGCCTGGGTTCGCCAACCACATGGAGGTAACCATCACCCAGAGGGATAGGAGGGGCTTCTTACTCCCAGTGGCCCCTCTGTATGTCATTTGCATTTCCCTCAACAGATTTCCTAGCTTGGTGGAAGAGGATTTTGCAAAGAATGTTGCCCTGGGAGACTGGAGAGACTTATGGGCAGAACCTCCCAAGAACCCAGATCCCACCCTTGAGAGAGCCGCTCTGCCTGGCTGAGCCTTTGCTGTTCACCGCAGTCTGCCCTGGGGAGGGCAGGAATAGAGCAGATTCCTCCCCAGCAGTGCTTTTGGCCTTGACCTTGGAAAGGAGCCAGGCAGGCTGAGCGGAGGGAACAGAGACCAGACTCTGTGATCACGCCTATTTGCTCCTCACTGAGCAGCTTCTCTGCTCTTTCTGGAGAGCCCAGGTGGATGCGGATGCCACATCTCACCTTTCTCCTTTCTCATGAAAACAAGGAGAAGCTGTCTATGGTGGAGGCCTTCGTGGACAGGGCTTCCGGTTGGGGCAGAGAGACCACAGAGGCCTGTGAGAGGCACCGTCTGTGGTTCCCTTCACTTCCTGACCTGGCTGCTGCCTGACCCTCACTGCCTCCCGCTCTCAGCAAGTCCATGGTGCAGAGGTGTGTGGCTCAGGGTGGCCAGGTCTAACTCTTGAGCACTTGAGGACAGTCAGGGTGATGCCATTCCCTGTTACGCGCACAGTAGCACATCTTACCAGTGGCAGCTGGGCTGAAGTGACCCTTCCCACTGGAGGGCCACCATGGTCTTCAGAGGTTGACAACTGCAGCGGCCACGTGGAATTCTCTTGAGCCGCAGCCAGCAGGGTTTGAGCATCCTTTATACGCAGATCTTGGTGTTGGGGGCCAAGGAAGCCACACATGTGTGTTTTAGTCTTTGCCCCTGGGACTTTACAATGTGGTTGTGACACACAAAGAAAAATATATGCATAAAGTAGTAATCTTGAGGCTCCTCTTCTCCACAGAGCTCTTTCTGCCTTCCTCCTTGGTCTCCCTAAAGAACAGCTCATCCTCAGGTCGTTTCAAGGTCATTTCCTAGTGGGAATCTGCCTTTCCTGGGTTAGCTTAACCTCTACTGGACCTGACTGAAGCCCTTTCTGAACTTGGCCTTTGGATTTTGCATTTCCCTGTTATTCTGTTTCCTTCATTGCACAGTAAGCTATTGGGGAAAAGAGCCTAGTGCCCAGTTCTATTACCAGCATGCAGGAGAGAGAAATGCTCAACGAATATTTTAATGAATGCATCACTTAATCAACAACAGAGAGATCATATGTTACGTGCTAAAAGCATAGAAGAAATGGCAAATTCCAGAGCCGTTTAGAAGGGAGTGGGGGAGCGGCTCATGAAGAAGGCCCTGGGGAAGGAACGTGTGATCTGGCCATTTTTGTGACTCTTGGGCACCTGCTTCACACACATTCACTTTTCACCTAGTGCTGTGTTAAGGTGTGGGGTCCTCGATGATGGGGAAGTTGATGAGGATTTATAAACACTCCTCGGAAAGATTCTCAACGAGCTCACCAAGGCCGCTTCTCTGCGTGTGCATGTGTGCGTGTGACAGTGGCAGCCAGGCCAGATGACCTTGTTCAGCCAGTCTCCAGCACTGCCACTTCCTAAAAGCCACTGCAGGTAGCCACCTGTGAGTGATAGAAAGGACCTGATTGCCACACCCTCCAGCGTGTGTTCTCGGGGGGGAGCCAGGGCGTTCATGAAGAATCATGAAGAGAAGTATCTCTGAGCCTAAGTGACGCACTTGGAGAAACAGACATCACAGCCCCAAAGGGTCACAAGACAAAAACCAACCGCGGACGGCCCACTCAGACTGCGCAGGCAGATCTCGGGGAAGGGAGAGAGAGAGCCGAGGCAGGAGGGCCCTGTAAGCCACGTTGCTGTTTTATGTGTATTTCTCTGATGGTCAGCCACATTGCCAGGTCCCAGAAGGCATGGCCTAAAGCTCCCACACCATGCAGCTGCCGTGGCCCTAGGTATTGGTCTGTAGCAGGTGCTGCTGTGGTTTGGAGGTTGAATATCCCCTAGAGGCCCAGGTGATCAAGGCTTGGTCCTCAGGGTGGCACTATTGGGAGGTGTCAGAATATTCATGAAGAGGGACACTGTGGAAGGTACTTAGGTCATTGGTGGCATGACCTTGAAGTGGACTGTGGGACACCAGACCCATTCCTCTGTCTCTCCGGCTCCTTGGCCATACAGGAAGTAGTTTTCTCTACCACTTGCTCCCTGCTATTGCCATCTGGCACCCCTACCAGAGGCCTAAAAGCAATGAGTCTGCTTGTGATCATGGACTAGAATCTCTAAAGTTATGAGTCAAAATAAACCACTTTTTTAATAAGTTTATTTTCTCAGCTGTTTTGTTATAGTGATGGAAAACTGACTAACAGATGCACAATACCCATTGCTTACTGCTAAAGAGAAGCCCATTTGTAAATATACCACATTAAAGAGGACATAGTGAGCTGGGCATGGTGGCACATGCCTATAATCCCAGCAGCTCAGAAGGCTGATACAGGAGGATCTCAAGTTCAAAGACAGCCTCAGTAATGGGTACGGTGCTAAGCAACTCAGTAAGACTCTGTCTCTAAATAAAATACAAAATAGGACTGGGGATATGGCTCAGTGGTTGAGGGCCCCTGAGTTCAATCCCCAGGACCTAAAAAAAAAAAAAAAAAAGAGAGAACCCCCAGCGAAGGCATCAGGCAGGGCTCATGCTGAATAGGACCCTGGGCACGGTCCTAAGCAAGAGGACTTCTTTGTTGTTGGTTTTGTAGAGCAGAGGAAGGAATTCAGGGCTTTCTCTAGGCCAGGCTGTCAGGGTCTATCACTGAGCTACACCCTCAGCTTTCAGACCTGGTTTTTGGAGAAGATTGGAGAGGGTGGTTCTGTGGTGGCAGGTTGTTGTACTAGGTGAGGAGGAGTGAGGGTGTGTGGGTGCTTGGGTAGGGGCTTGTGGTCAGAAATGGTAGGTAAGGGGATTCAGCAGAGGGGTGGTGAGTGAGAAGATCGCTGCCAGTGGACAAGAAGGGAGAAGAGCCATGAACATCGTGAGTGACTGCCCACTGTTGGAGGTGCCACCTGTATCAGGGGTCACGGAACATATTCCACGCAGTTTGTGGACTAAGGCTCAGGCCGAGGTTTATGAGCTTGTGTGTAGCAGTGGAGAGGTGGAGAGGGCTCGCTTGGCGGAGTTCACCACCAGCGCACTAATTTAACTCCGAGACCTCGCCGGGGCTTTCTGCTCTGCAAGGAGCTGGCAGGCAGAGCGGTGACTCCCACACAGCCCACCCACCAGCCAGGGCTCTGCAGCGGCAGAGGCATCGACAGGCCCCATCTCCATGAAGGGGCTCTTAGGAAAAGAAGCTTCTTCAGGTGACTGGAAAGGCCCGTGCCCTGCTTGCACGGCGCTTGGAGAAGACCATGTGCCTGTGGAATCCAGACTGGACAGCGGAGCAGCTAACAGGGAGGCTGGCCAAGTGCTGCCACAGCCACCAGGGAGGGAGGGAGACAAATGACTAGAGGAATGTTTTCAATTCCACTTTGATGTGGTGACACTGAGGAAAGAGGACAGAGCTTGGGGGCAAAGGCAGTCCCACCAGACCAGCCCCCCGACGGGACCTTCCAGAAACTCTTCAGCGGAAGGACCCTAGGCCAGCCTGATGCGAGGCTCCACCTCTAACCACTGGACCCTGGGAGAACGCCTCCTCTGCTACCTTAGGCAACCTTAGGCTGCTGTCTTGGTGGCCACGCTTGGCCTGTGATTTACACCAGCTCTTGATGAGAAGGCACATGGTGGAGGGTGTGGATAACGACAGGCTGAATTACACCATCCATGGCAACCAGGCCTGACTCGTCCCCTGCACCACACTCTGCAGAGTGTTTTCCATGCATTATTTAACTTGATCTTTAACAAAACCACTGAGGTAAATAAGATGATTTCTTTCATATTTTATAAATGAAGAAAAGGAGATTTGGAGCCTTGTCCTCAGGCCACAAGGGGAGTAAGTGGCAGAGCCAGGACTCAGTTCTCAGCTACATGGGAACGTCGAGGGTCCACCCACTTATCACCGACTCTTTGTTCTGGATATATGGAACGTAGCATTGGACTTTACCATTATACTCTTATTGTCCAGTCATGATGATACTGTCATGATCACTTGTTCTGTGCCAGATTTAGGGTGAGGTGCTGGGGGTGCAGCCTTGAGAGCAGCATGGTTCCACCAGGAGGAACTGGGTCTTGGGAGGGAACAGCAACCCAAAGGCAAACACACGTTTACAACTCAGCACGCCCTGTCCTGTCTCTGAAGCTCACTCTAGGAGGGCTGAAGCACCCAGGGTGTCCAGGGTCAACTCTGTCTGGCACTGGCACCATCTCATTCCAATCACAGATCCCTGACCCTCAAAGGACTCCCCCCTTGGTCATGGCTACCTGACCTCAGGCCACAACAGCCTCCTTTCCTCAGAACCCTAATGCACCCTCTTCTGCCACCAGCAGGGTGACTTCCTGTTCATCTTCTCTTCATTCCTTCCTGGGCACCTCGTGCTCTTCACGCGGCCTCTGTAAAAGGCGCTGTGCTAAGTGCACAGTAGTTTGATCAGGTGAGGACCACGGGCAACGATGGCTGTTCATTTGTGGCACTAGATCTGAGTATGGTAGAAAATCAATAAACATTTGTTTGATTGATTAAGGTTCCCAGATGAACTTACTCATTTTGGTACCTCCCATGGTTGGGAGGTACCAAAATGAATCTCCTGAAAGTACTTCCAGAGGGTGAATTGCAGAGCATCTGCGGGGCTCCTCTGGTGCTCTTCAGGTTGATAAATGAAGTCCGAGGCCCACCCTTGATGCCTTCGGGCCACACGGCCGGCCGGGGGCTTCAACAACCGCCTTCCAAGTGTGAAAGTTCCTTTTGCTGGGGAGAATCAAAGACTCTGACTCTTTCAAGTAGTTTTGTGAAACAGATCTCAATCCAGCAGGGAAGATGCTAAGAAGCAATTAAAAAAAGAAAAATGTATTGTTGTTATTTTTACCTGCATCCTGTTCCTGGCTGTGCTGCTGCCTTCTGAAGGGGCCTTGGCACACACACTGCCTCCAAGTGCCAGTTCTCCCATCTGTAAAATAATCCCCGTCCTTGATCCTCAGCTCGCAGGGGCGCTGGGACGCCTGGGGAGGCAGTCTGTGCTGTGCGTGCAGCTTCCTGGACAGAGGCGCTGGATAAATAAAGGCAATCACTGCTATTTAGAGGGTGCACAGTGGTTCAGAAGTGCTTGGTGCCTGTCCCTTTTCCTCATGTCTCCTCGCCCGAACGTCTCACCTCTGCTTCTACCCAGAAGCACCGTGGTTCTGATCTGCCTGTAGAGGGACTAATTGAACAAAACCCTGTTAGATCCCACCGAGTTGACCCAGGCTGCCCGTCTTCTGGGGTTTTTGAGAGCTCCTCTCTTTGTTGAGAAAGGGAGAGAGACATCACCAGGAATGGCAACTCGCTGGCTCCTTCATTAAGGCAGCGTTTCCCCAAAGGCTCTCCTTACCCCTTAAGCCATCTCTTCCTCTGAAACTCACTTCACACTGTGGCGGCTGGATGCAGGGACGCTCTTGCTTGGTTGCCTTGGCAACAACCTGTGTTTGTTGTCAGCAAAGTTTACTGTTCCGTTGTCATTGTCCCCCCCCCCTCTGTCTCATGGTACAGAGTGGTGGATAAACTCTAGGAGGAGGGGAAACAGAGGAAACCCCCCAGGGAGTGACAGGAGGAGAGGTAAGAGCCAGCACAGAAGCCTCCAGAAAGGCACCATTGGGTCTTTGGAGCCTGTGGAGCAGTTACACATTGAAAAAAAAAGCTGCTAAAACCAGGAAGCAATTTTTCTATAAAGATGAAAAGTCAGGTCAGTAGAGACCTTGGCACGACAGGCCACGCCCCGTGAGAATCACAAGAACAAGGACTTCGCCAGCCATGCTGAACACCTCCCCAGGGTAGATTACGGCCACCTTGGGTATATTCTCCTCACCCGCAGTGGACTTAGGTGTTATGGGTCCACTGACCCTTCCTGCAGGCTTTGCAGAGAGCCAGGCCTGGCCTTCACGGTGCAATCTGGCAGAACCGTCCCTCACGGTCCATAGGAGCACAGGCTATTCAAATGGTTTTGGTTAGCATTCGCTTGGGATTTGTTCTTATTTTGTTTGTAATTTTTCTTCCCTTGGAGGACTTGGCATAGCTGAGCCAGGGAAGACGATTCCAAGACTTGTGAGTCTGAGAAACACAGCATTCTGGCCTCTTTCAGCTTCTGAGCTTTGACGCCTACATAGGTAAGTGGCTTAAGTCGCCAAGCAAGACTCTTACATTACCACGGGAGCAAGTGGCTTTATTGGGGACAAATTAGTTTGAATATCAGCTGTAGGTTTAAAAGGCTACAGTTTTAGTGTTTCTTATTCATTTGTTCACCAATCCCTTATTGGGTTCTGATTATTTGCTAGCTACTATACTGGGCACCAGGGGTACAGGGATGAAGAAAACACTAGAACACCTCTGCCTTCCTAGACGCTGTGCTCTCTCTCAGACCCATAATCACTATTGATGTTCACATAAGTGCTTCTGATAGTAGCAGAAACTAGATGGAAGACACAGAGTCACTGCACCCAAATTTTCCATACATATCACAACCTTAGGGTAAAAGGAGCCTTTAGAAGCCATCATTGGTTAAGAATGCCTGCTTCAATTTCTCGCTTCTTATCTAGCAGCAATTCTACTTCCAGAACATTCTCCAGATCTATTCACCCCCACAGCTCACCTGCCTTACACTAGTGTCTCCGAGCTGGTCTCTCTACTTCCATTCTTTTCCTCCTCCATAATCCATTCTCCACCCAGCTGACAGAGTGATCTCTTAAAAATGCAAATCAGATGATGTTTTCGCTGCTTAATGCCCTCCAAAGACTCCTCTGCACTTAGATTAAAACTTTTAACTCTCACCCTCCCCACTAAATCCCCAACACGCTTAGCCACCCACTCCTTGACCTCACCTCCTCCGCTATGCGGAATGGAATTGTTTGGTTGCTTACTTCTATTATAGCCCCAACTACCATGCACCAAAATGCCGCAGTCTGGCTGGGCACAAATCACGAGCCACTGAAGCAAGAACAAACTTTATTTCTGAACTCCACCAGCACACTCCACACACGCTCCCCGGAACTCTCCCGAACGCCACGCGTGCGGCTCCTCCAGGAACCACCAACCATAAAATCCCTCCTCCGGCACTTCCCCAACCAATGAGAACTCTTCAGGAATCCCCGCGCGAGAGCTCAACCGGAACTCCGCGAGAACTCAAAAGTCATCAACTTAATGGCTTGCTGGCATCACCTCTCAACCACTACTTCTGGCAAAAATGCTATGTGTCATCCCGACTCGGCTGTGGCCCTCAACACCAAAACACATAGAGAAAACTAACCTCTAGGAGCTGGGTGTAGCTCCTAGAGGTAGAGCACTTACCCAGCATGTGCAACACCCTGAGTTCAATTCCTAGCACTAACAAAAGAGGAGAAAAATAAGAGAAAAAAAATTTCTTCTAAAATTAAATTCCTTCCCAGCCATTACTTTGTCTGATTTGTTAATTTTTACTTATGAAAGTGACTTACAAAGTAGATAATCATAATTGTTGTTGAATTTCTAAAACTCTACATTTCATACTATTACCAGTGTCCTAGGCCAAAAGCCTGTCTCTCGGGGTTCCAACAAACCAGGCCTAGCCACTTTCCCCAAAAACCAAACAGAGAGGTAATGGTGAAGAGCAGGGAAGCAACTTTAATTGCTGTGGCCATATCAGAAGCCAAGGAGAAATCAAGACTCTCAGCCCTCTCTGCAGGGTGCCAACATGTGCTGAAGGTTTCACTAAAGAAAACTCAGGTCAGCCGTGAGAGGTATGTGCTGTCAGACTGTGGTCTGGAGGATCATTATCCAGTTCTGGATCTGTGAGGTGGCTCTGGGGAAGTGCTTGTCTCCTGAGAGGGCAATCTTCGTTTGTTTCACAGGATGCAGGATCTATCAGTTCTGTGATCATGGGAAGGGACAATTGGTTCCTATGAGATGAGTGTTCCTGTTGGATGGGGGGTGAAGGTGGGGCCCTCATCATGGGGTGATGGGCCTGCAGGTGGCCTCTGTTCCAGAAAGGTGTTGGGCAATGACTGGAGACTGCCCCTCCAGGGGTCTGAGACAAGGTGCCCTAAATATTCCTGCAAATCTTAACTTAGCCATGAAGGGGGACAAGATAGATTAGGTAAATTTGGGGCAATAAACCTTCATTTAATAATTCTTACATGACCACTCCTTAAGGATTAACATGTCTGTGTACAGAACTGAGCAGGTCACCAAGTTCAAAGAGACAGTGACAAAACGAAGGCAGAGATGCCAAACTTTGTCCTGCTTTCAGTTACCCATCGGGCATCTCAGTAGAGTCATGTTCTAGCAAAGGCAACCTCTCTAACTCCTGGTGATGCCTCCTCAAAGGGCAGGAGAATAGCTGCATTACTAAGATCCCCAATGTGCATGTTATTTTAAGAATTTGTTTAGGTTTTCTCATACTGTGCACATTTTTCTCTCCCTTTACTATCCACCCCTCGGACTTTGTTACATGAGACAAACCCACTTCCTACTTATGGACGCTATTCCAGTGTTGCATGGAGCTCTTAGGTTCCACTACATCTTCTGTTTTCCAGGCTAAATGCTCTTTGTTCCTTTAACCTTTGACATGGGCTGACCTTCTCTCTCTTGCTTTCTTTTCTCTTGAAACCTACATTTTCTCTTAAAATGTCTGACTGGTCTAGTTAAATATCATAGCTATCTAGGGAAGAGGGGATGAGTCAATTAACAGGAAACGTTTGGCTGGTGAAAAAGAAACTTCATCCAATGCTGTAAAATGTTTATTGATCGCTTACATGAAACTAGTTTAATGTCTGACCAATTAAACCTAATTGAAGGCCCTGCTCTTCCAAGCCAAGTCCATTGGATTTTGAGCAGTGACCTGACGGGGAGATTAGTGAGAGCAGTTCCAACTAATTCTCTGTTCTTAACTGCTCCTAATACAGGCTGGTGCTCAATAAATATGGTATCAAAATAATTATAATAAAATTATGCAAAATCTAAGACCTGATAATTAATGAAGAAGTATTTGAACTGTCAGTGGTGTCTTGAGCCCTAAAGGGAAAAATAATAACCTGACAATAAAAGTGAAATATGAGATCAACCAATTAATTAGCAGAATAATTTAATCTGATGCTCTGAAAGTAGGCCAATTAAAATGCACTGTTACTATTTAACATTGATTAAACGAGGTGCTAGATCCTGCACGCAGTTTGAAAATAGACCTTTTTCCTACCCTCAGGGAACTTAAAGCTAATTTAAGCAGTTGCATCTAAAAGGACAAAGGAGCAGGAGGTGTGGTGTGGATTGATTTCCTGGAGCTTCTTCTCCTAGTGTTGGAGGAGCAGAAAGGGTGGTTCCCACCTGCCATCAAAGGTCCCCTCCGCTCACACCCAGCCTCAGCCTCCTGCCTTCTGTAGAGGTGACAAAGGTCAAGTCAGGCTAGAAGAAATGATTAAAACCTCCAGAGGCTTACCTGAAATCGTGAAGTCTTCTACACTTGAGCTACTGAGGAGAAAAGAGGAGCCCAGACATCATTAGTGCCTTTGATAATTCGTTAGGAATAATTCATCAGCTGCTAATGAAACAACAATAACAACAATACATAGAAAAGCAACCGAAACCATCTTGCCTCCTGGCGTACTTAGGGGAACGCGCATACCCACTCTCACATTTAATGATGGTACAAGGATAAACCACAAAGTAGCCCATTAACTGCTCATTTTACTTTAAGGAATTCTGATCTCTGACACAAATAATAATAATAATCTAAATGTACTTATAATTTGCAAACTGCTCTTTAGCCTCTTGAAAGCCGCCTTCTTGTGAAATGAGTTTTGCAGTCTCCCCTTCCACTCTGCTCTCGGTGCTGGCTGATCAATATGTGAGTGTCAACACTGTCCCTGAAAGGAGCCCCCGCTGCTGCCATCTCACCAGAGGCAGCACAGGCGAGGGACACCCTGCTTCTCCTTCCTGGATTACATGTGGGCTGTTGGGGTGCCCTTTGAATTGCACTTCTGGGAGACCAAGAGGACTGCGTTGAGGCGCCCATCCTATTCTCCTTGGGGACTGCTGGAGTGCATGTAGGAGGTGCTGGAGAGCAGCTTCTGCCTGGGCACCATCCTGCCTAGGAAGAATCTCACCCAGCTAGAGACGCAGCTAGCTCAGCAGCAGAGCATCTACCTATGTACACAAAACCTGAGTTTGATCCCCAGCACCTCACACACCAAAAAAGATGCCATCAAAGTAGAAAAAAGACTATTAGGGAAAAGAAAGGGGGTTGGGGGAAAGGGGAGGGTAAATGGGGTGGTGGGTATGACTGAAGTAGAGATTATGTGCATGCATGAACCTGCTACAACAAAGCCCATTATTCCATACGATCAGAGGGACTCACCCAGGGCCCAGGACTGACAAACACCATGCTTTCATGAGACCATTCAGCAATTTAAGAGGCCAAAATGGGTGGTCCTTTGCCAAAATGTATTGCAGACTGTACAAGTACACTAAATGACTGTGCTTAAGTACAACAGAGCTCAGAACTCATCTACTAAGGCTAGTACCAACTGCCACGTGACATGTACCAATGTCTGGTTTCCACTCGTGTGTCCATGACTCCAGGTTAGAGTACAGGTATTTGCCTAAATCAATTGCACTGCCCGTAGCTTGACTTGATTCCTTGATATGTGTTTACATGAGAACAGAATGGCAGCACTAACCAAAACAAAGTGTACAGCAGTCCCTCCCTCTCTGTGGGGGACATACTCCAAGACCCTGTTAGAGGTATGAAACTGTGGATAGTACCAAACCTTATGTGTACAGTACTTGTTTTTTCCTATATGCTCAGCACTGCCATGTAGTACCAAGAGTTGATCTATATTTCCATGATTTTATGTCCTTGTCCCATTGTATCAGTATTCTTGGGGCCATTATTAAGTAAAATAAGGATTACTTGAATATAAGCACTGTGATAGTCATAACAGCCAATCTAATAAGCATGATGGCTACAAATGAGTATCGGGAAGGTAGCCTATACTGTGTGGACATGTTGGACAAAGGGATGATTCATGTCCTGGCTGGGGATGGAGTGGGATGTTGTGAGATTTCATCATGCTACTCAGAACAGTGTGTAATTTAAAATATACTTTTTTTTATTTCTGGAACGTTCCACTTAGTGTTTTCAGACCTCAGTTGATCATAGGTCACTAGGGCCATGGAAAGAGAAACCTTAGATAAGAGGTGACCACGTAACTGAGCTCTAACTGAAGTTATTTGCAGCTAAGTGCTTCCCATGCATTGTAATCCTTATAATCCAAGGGGTGGACCCTAACATGAATTCCCACTTTAAAGAGATAAAGAAATTGAAGCTTAAGAATTGAGTAACATGGTAATTGGCTCAATCTTTCTGAGTTTCCCTTCTCAAAACCTCTGTGCTTTACTATCCCCTGGTCATAATGTGTCAGGTATGAAGGCTGCAGTCTTGCTTGGATATACACAATTGTGACCAATCACCATAATCCCTAAGGTGCACAGCCATTTGTTTACTTAGCCCTCTGTCGACTGACTTAACCTCTCTAAAATCTCCATGTGTATTGTACATACATGTGATATTACGACGACTTCACAGCAACCTGCAGACACTGGGGTGTCAGCATCTCTATGGTGGTCCTCTTCCTTCATGGTGAGTTTACTTATCTAAAATTTCACATTATTTTCCTCATCAGCCCAGTTTGAAATGAGTGATCTGTTCCCTAACCTCTGCTCTGCTAAGAAAGAAGAAAATGGAGGTTAGTTTTTTTTTTTTTTTTTTTTGACAGTTGCAATGGATCACTCTCTCTGTCCTGAGGGCTGAAACAATGTTTGAAATTGCAGCAAATTGGGATCCCAGGGCCACATCCATCTTCTCCTGCAGAGACTCCTACTCTTCCTTGGAATTCCTTGGGGGGTCTTCCATTTGTTGAACGTTACAAACGTAAGGTACATAAAAGCCCTTCTCTGCCTGAGGTCCCCAGCCCAGCAGCCTTGGGGAGCTTCGGTTGTTCGTTTGCACTTGATACTCCCCATTTTAAAATTTATTG